CAGGTCAGTCACTGCTCTCCTTATGCATTGCTAATGGCATGCCCCAATAACACAGGACAACACAATAAGAACAAATCCGCAGAGAATTGTGCATTGAGTTTACTTGTTTCTGGTATTAGTGTAAATGTATGTTTACTTCTAAAGCATGGCTTTTTCCAAACACTTTTCAAATTTCCACCCCTATGTCTGATGTTTGCTTATAATACATACAGTAAATATCCCAGGAGGGAACTTTTTTTTCCAAAACCTTAACCTGGTTATCAAAGAGGAAACCATATCAAAACATTAAAGTAAAAAAGAAAGACATAAAATCTGTAATTACTGCAGAACCAAATCTGACAAGTTTATTCTATGCTGTATGAAAACCTTTGGGTCATTTGGCAGAAACTGATTCGTTTAATCTCAGGATGTTTAGAAATAGCAGAATCTCTAACAGCATCTCTGAAGTATTGTTTAATCTCATTCAAGCAAGGAAAGGTGCAAAATGGGACTGTGCTGGTGGGTGTGTGAACAGATAGGCAGGAGGAGTCCATTACTCACAGATCAAACACCAGATAGTGGAAACCCTCTTCTGATATGCTGTCATGGAGTCTTACTGTGGAGGAGATTTCACAAAAACATAGTCAGCTCACGTAGGAAATCAAACAGTGATAAAGAAAGAAAAGCACCAATCCCAGTATCAAATGTGGAGCTGTTTGGGAAAAGGACTTTTCTAAATTTAGCAAGAGTTTTCAGTTAAAGCTGCAGTAGGTAACTTTTATGTAAACAAGTTTTTTTTTTTTTTTTTTATATACATTTGTTAAAATTTTCATTGTCCTGACAGTATAATGAGAATGATAAACTCCCCCCAAAAATTGACATCCAGCAGGTGGCAGTGGTCCTACTGCCACCTGCAGAAACCATTGCTCCCAGTCATAAATGACCAATCAAAGCCAGGAGGAGAGTATCAGGGCTGTCAAGCATGCTTCTATACATGCTGCTCACACCCTCCCAAAACAGGGTGTGAGCACTGTTTTGGGAGGGTATAATCAGGGTGTGAGCACTGTTTTGGGAGGTGCTCTTGAGCAATCTGACAAGCTCGAGCTTGTCAGTTTGCTGCAACTGTGCTGCAACTTGGACAAGCTTAATCGCCTCACAGGAGGTGTTGCACAGCAGGAAGCAAGGAAGAAAGTGTAAGTAGCGTCTACGTGAGCTTGATTGACAAGCTTTCGCCCCTTCTCCTGGCTGTGATCGGTTGTATTTTTGCAGATAGCTATAAAACCAGTGTGAGGAGGCAGAGGAGTTAAATTTTTTTCTCAGATTATCTGCCTCATATGATACCATGAGGACATAGTTTTAACAAATACATATTTATAAGCTAACTACTGCATCTTTAAACTGTTTTAAACTGCCTGCTGTGCTAGTTGCATATGTCTCAATAAAATGAATCTAAATTTTCAGAAATATTGAGCTCAATGTGATAATAAAGAAAGAAAACATAAGAAGAGAGATGCAGGTTCCATCAGTGGTGAAGTGAGGATTAAGGTGAGTGGTTTTTAGCTGGAGGTTCCTCAAGTCTTTCAAGAAGATTGCACAGGCACAATATCATTAGATACTCAAACACACAGACCAATCCACCCACACAAATTCACTCTTCACTTGTATTATAAACAAACTGCCTCGAAGATGAACAGCCATTGCAGATATCGCAAGAGACCTGGGGGACAAAACGGATGTGTCCTGGTGTGTTTTAGCACTCACCGATATTCGGGTGCTTTAGTAAACGACAAATCCTTGCCTCTCTCTCCAGCTTTTGGTGATCTAACAGAAAAGCAGAGGAGACACAAACGCACAGACATTAACAGTATTTCTCATGCTCCATGGTGATTGGCTGCATAAATGATCCAACGTGAAGCTGGCTCCAGCTCATGTTTGCCTCGATGGAGGACACAGGACAGTGTTAATGTCACTGTCAGCGTGTTTATGTTGAGTCCGTCTGCGCGTGCTGGCTTTGCATCAGCTTGCTCTTTTGCTTACCAGAACTAAGAGGCTTGACAGAAATAATGTGACCTGATATGTGCTTGGTTACACGCCACACACAGCAACATAACAGCACAGTCAAGGGGCACAGTAAGCTCGAAATGACCTCTGGTGTGTAAGTTGACAAGTAGCTGGGGGAAAAAAAAGCGAAATATACCCGAAATGACGGGTAATGTAAGCGTGGCAAGGTTACGAATGAAATAAAAAGTCATTTCTGGACAGTTCCATTTTGATCAGTATTATGAAATGTTCAGATTCATTTATTGTTCTGGTGATTTATGTAGAGTGAGCGATGATTCAGTTTCAAGATCCAGATTTTTGCTTTTTGAATATATATATTATTGGTTAGTAATTTGCCTCTTGATTGCACTGAATGACTGTCTGTATAGGCAGGATAAATCTTTTTTCATCTGCTTTATGAACAAATGCAAGAACACTAACAGGACACAAGCACACAAAAAGATCGCAATCTGAATGTTAAAATGTTTGACCAATTTGGACATAGACTTGGTTACTGGTATGAAGGTTCTCTGGGAGAAAGTGTGTTAGAGTTTTTCCTCCTACTTTGTGGAGCGTAAAGTCATCCAGCGTTGCCCCTCCCACACATGTTGCTGCAGACTGATGGCCAGTAGGCTTAAAGACTAGTGTTATTTCTATATTTGCAATAAAACTAAACAATTAAATGCCATAGCTATTATAACATTAATGATAAATATGTTGTTTTACCACCAAAAGAAATAATTATTGATTTTCTGGTTTTACTTGATTAATTTATGATTTTTTTTTTGTTTAGTTTTTTTATTTTCCCACATTTTTGTGTTAAAATGTTTTTATTAGTCTGCCATAATAGTCTAACCTTATCCATTTTATTTCCATTAGCTGCAAGCAGAAATACAGGAATAAAGGCTTGTACACATTACTCTGTGTGCAATGAATCTATACAATGTGTGTCACCGAGTGAATAGAGTTTCTGAAATAAATTAACTTTTCAAATTTGTTGAATACAACTGTATTGTGACGCCATTTGGAAATCAGTACTCATAGTCGCTCGTTGCTAATTTTCTGAACCCTGTCAGTCAGATCATTGCAGAGACAGAACATCATCTTGGTATTTCCCACACTTGATGGGATCAATTTGTCTCAAATTGGCTTTCAGAGCTGTCTTCCACATCCCTGCTGCGTTGAACTGAGGTCTCCTAAGTTTCCTGATTCTTGGCTGATGTTGGTTGCACCTGGTGTGGTTTTCTGCTGCTTTATCTCAGTTGACTGCTTAGGTTAAAAGTGTACATTCAGAAATTGAACTCAACATAACAGGTGGCTATTTGAGTTAGCATCGCCCTGCTACAATCGAATACAATTCTGACCATTCTCTTTTGATCTCCCTCATTAACAAGACATTTTTATCCACACTGAAACTAACAGCCATGCAGTAATATGCAATAACTTCCCTTTCTTCCCTTATACTCATGTGAAATTTGAACTTCAGCAAGTCGTCACTAGATGTGAAAGTATATTGAGTTCCCGCTATCCGCAAGACTTGACCAGATGTTTGAGGAACATATGTCCCAATGCATCATCCAAAACTTTACACTGGAGCTGTGGAGTAATTTAACACTGGAGACAACAAGGGTGAAGATGAAGAGGAAAAAAAAAATACCACAGATAACAGGATAAAAATATATAATGGAAGGTTTTTCAACTATTTATTTAAATATTAAAGATTAGAATAGGATAGAAATTCTGTGCATCTAGTGAAATTATTACTGCCCCAGTAATATGCATTTGGGTATCCATGCAACATTCTATCCATCCAAGTAGCCTTTATGCCAACCCACAAACCATTTTCGCACAGCCCCACTAGTTTTCTATAGTGCACATTTCTCATTAATTTCCTACAAGAGTAATTAGCAAAAATTATTTGCTAAAAATTATCTGCAAAAATTATTTTCCAGAATAAGACATTAGTCCTAAAAATTATATTTTGTTCATGGCACGTGTCAAAGAAAACTTTTGAAAAGTTAACACATTATACCACGCCAAGAGGAAAACACTAAAAAGTACAGAGGTGACTGTGTGGCTGCCTGGATGCAGCACAGCCCCAAACAAGATATGGCAACCCAAGCAGGCTCTCACGTCTCTCTGCAGAGTGATTACACTGATTTCATCTGACTTTATGAACATAGAGCGACACACAAATGTGTCTGTCAGAGAATACCCCGGTCTACTGACTGGACTGTGAGTCAGAACAGCAGTTGTCATAATGAGTAACATGTTACGGTTTTAGAAGTGACCCATTTCAACTTTCCCCCAGGAAAGAAAAACCAAAGAATGAAAAATATAGCAGCAGGTGAACACATCCATACTCCCAACACGTAAGACAAGTAGGAGGCTTTTTTTGTTTTCTGTTCTTTTATCAACACATTCAAATCTGAAGCAAAAGAGGACGTAGTGGTTTGTTTTTACATTCCTTACCATGAGTGAACAATTGACAGAAAAAGCACCAAATCACAAAAACATTATTTTAGAAATATATTTTTTTTCATCTCTATTTAAAAACATATAAACCAAAAAACATTGTTATCCCAATCAACCTAAAAACTGTTGCTTTAGACCATGGTGGTTACATGAAATAGGGGTTAAAATGGACACATTACCAATTTTGCTGTCTTGATGTTGGCTCTACAAGTCTACACTGCAGTAGACTTTCTGGTTGAACATTAAAGCCTGTTAATATATTACCTGAAGCGGAGGTCTCTCTTGACTTCTTAATTCGATACGAATCCAAATTAGTGCGTTTTGAAAACTGAAGGGAACAACTGCTAACACCCAAGAGAGACCAAGGTCAAAGCAGACTTCTGCCATCATAAAACACCTCTGATCTTAAAGGCATCAGTCGTTTGTCCTATTTTATGAACCTTTAAACCACCATCATATTGTAAGTATTACTCTCACAAACAATTTCCATGTTCTATTTTCCAATGCACATTTCAAACAGGGAGATTGTTGGTGACGCACTGCCTCCTACCTCCACTTACTGCGTAAACAACCAATGGCTTCAGTGCTAATGCTGACCAAATGCAAACATGATGAGGCTCATAAAACAGAGTTTCCATAAACCACTAGGACATTCTAGAAATTTGAGGGGTTTTTTCATGAAGGTAAAAATCCACCATTTTCTAGTCTCCTTTTGGACTAGCTATTACCTTAATGTTCCAGGACAGACTAATTTGGACTTATAACTAAGAAAACAATTCTAACTGCTTTCACTGCTTTTAACACAACCTCACGTAAATATCCTAAATTACATAATGCCTTAGAGAAATCACCTTGTGAAAAAGAAGCACCTCACTCCAGCACACAGAGCCTAAAACAGCTACTTTGTGGTGCTGCAGAGTTTCCATATTGCCTGTGAGGACATGTCCATTTAAATAATATTTCACTGTACTGCCAAATGTAGACAAAAACAGAAGAGCACAGAGCCGCAGACAGAGCCTGAAACAAGGACAGCTCAGTGGACGGTGTTTTATTAACATGACCCTCAGAGCAAGGTCACTAATTGCTCTCTCAGTCTCACTATGTTACTGAAAAGTACTTATTTAGCACCTCTCCTATTCTATCTGTCTCAAGCCTGTTTTCAGCTGTAAATTTCCAAAGATCAGATCAGCTGGATTGACCCCAACTTCTGGTTTTCTTACATGAGTGACAGTTATTTTCTCTGTTACGTGAAGATTTGTGCCTTTGGTTATTTTTGTGTTGTAATGATTTTAAGCTGTCTTTGGTTGTAAGAATATAAAACAAATTGCCTATATTTTTATCAAAAGCTGTTATTTGTTCGTCTGAGGCACTTTGTGGAAAACACATTCCACACACTGAGGATTTATCAGGCATTTCGGGGGGTTTCTCTAACTTGCAGCGTGAACGCACACGGCATTTGCTACTGCGCTCACCACAAACTGCACACTGCAAATGCCTGTCACATGAAAGCCACACTCCTCCTCAGCATTTTCCACCCTTTTCTTTCACTCTGCTTTCCCTTCTCTCTCTCTCTCTCTCTCTCTCCTCCACAGGTAGTACACCTCCTAGCTGGCTGGACATCTGTTGTCTAGCAACTCCTGCACCAATCAGAGCGTCAGGCCTCTCGTTCTCCTCTGCAGTGAAACCAGCCTTGCATGCAAATGGCAGACTTCCCGAGAGTTATCGTGCAACTATAAAACTCTAAAGAACGTCGGGCAGAAAAATAGTTCTATAGGTGTCATCATCATACAAGCGTTTAATTTTAATTCATCTGTTTTTGAAATGAGATAAATAACTCAAACTGTCACAAATAATGCAAAAAAAAAATGTTCAGCTCAATTCTGAAGGCTTAAGAAGTTGCTATGTGAGAAAGAAGTGCTAGACTGTCCATCCGGTCTGTTGTGAAAGCTGTTTATCGATGCAACTTGCCTTTTCATTGAGAAGGTCCTTATTCAAAAAACAACAAAGAAGAATTGGGTAACTTGGATTAGAGTGTATGAATGCATGTGAAGATTTTTGGTTGACCCAACATTTTCTTTTATATTTTACTCTAGTAAATCCCTTTTAATATAAACATTGCTACTGTAAGCAAGTCTGAAATCTGCTTGACCCTGAAACTGCCTAAACTTGATAATGTGTTGTAAGTCAATGACAAAAAAGCTTTAAAATATTTAGGTGTCAGTGCAAATGTGCAAGCTTGATCCTCAATGCGGCAGAGGCTTTGAGAGGCACTTTGCTTACGTTTGTTAAAATCCACAGCTGGCTTT